AATAAATGCTTTTAAGAAACACACACAAAAGTGATTTGAAAGTATCTGACAGGCACCTCAGTATTGATCCCTGAAATAATAAAATCTGCCTGACCGACTAATCAGAATATAGGTTTTTCTTCTACATTGTGATAACACTTCCATGTTTATGGAATTGCATGGTTCTAGACAAAGCAACCATTTTGGGAACTTTTCATCATTCTTCCCAAGTAGTAAAGGCTTAAGTGGACATCTTTGTAATATAGCTGTATTTCTGACTCTTTTGTTTTGTGACATGTCAGTGACAGTCCCTACTAAGTTTTCATGGAATGAAGTCCATTTAACAGGTGATCCTGTTAAAAGCATTTTCACTGTTAAACCAGTTTTAATCATATGCAATGTGGGTCAAAAGAATCTGTTCCCAATAAGCTGTACACACACTTGCACCCCCCCACACACACACACACATCACACTAATGCACCTGCTAGAATCAGCTCCACAAGGCAAAAATCTGTTTTGTATCTGCTATATCACTAGAAATTAGAACAGTGCCTGTAACATTTAGGGAGCTCCATATCTATTTGGGGAAAGAATTCTACCATACAAAACACATGATTATGACTTTATTTGTATATAAACTGCATGTTCCTCAGAGCAACAGTAAAAACTGGGAGGTTCTGTTTTCTTTGACTTCATCCTCTATTTCCTGTGCTCTTCCATGTTGCCAGCAATTCCACTCTGTCCCTGGGCATCTAATAGTGTTAATAATATTAATATTTATAAATTTTATCCAACAATGCTTACTAAGTCCAGAAACTGAACTGTGCAGTGTACATTTTCATTTAATTGCTACAACAATGTTAGAAATAAGGTGATGTTTTAACTCTCCTTCAATAGATAAGACAAATCGAGTTACAAAGAGGCAAGTACCTTGACTGTCCTCAAAGGAGCGTAGAAGCGAGAGTCTCAAATGCTTCTAACTAGATGTCCATACATCATGACCTCATCACATCACCTCCCAATGACTCCTACCCTCCTTACTACCACAGTGTGAGAAGACATACTACCCTTTTCTTCTTGTGTGTCAAAATCCCCACCTCCCTTCTCAGTTCCCTTTCCCCTAATGCGCAGGGCCAGAATCCACCCAGGCTGCCTCAGCTGGAATGAGGAAGCTCTGCCATGTAGAATGGCTGACTAATCAACTCATTACCCTTTTGTGTAAAAGTTCCAATGTATTGCCTAAGATAAACATTTCCATCTTATGCCTTTATTCTCTGCTGCACAATGTTAAGTTTTACCTATTCATTAAGAAATCCAAGAAATTGAGGAAAATATCTTCAAAAGCAGATACAATTTCATTCATTCAACACTGTTCATTATAAAGTTCACTACTCTGACAAGCACTCTTAGGCAAGGGGGATACGAAATTGAGTAAAGTAGAGTCTTGTCCTCTCGGAACTAATGGATGGGAAGGAATGAGAGAAAAGGAGGCCTGATAATGGATTTTAAGTGAGGTGCAATGGTGGCCCCAAGGACTAAAGACTAATTCTACTTGAGGAGGTTAGGTGAGTTTTGACAACAACTGCAACTTATTTAAAAATAATAATATGGAGAAAGAAATGGGGGAGTTTAAACTGGTAAAAGGAACAATGTGAGGAAAGGTAAAGAAATGGGCAATTTTGTTTGTGTTTAGAAACTGACCATCTATTTTAATTAGACTATGGTGTGATGGGAGGTGTAAGAGTCTGCACTGAGGCAGGAACAAAGGCAATGGAAACCAAGAGAACTACATAGTCTCTGGCCCTGTGTGGTATGCAGTCCTCTAGGCCTACAAGGCAGTGGACATATACAGCCATTTTCCTAAATTACCAGTTTGGGAACACAGGACTTTCCAAAGGGAATGTATTATGTATAGAATAGAATACAAAGGACCTGAATTTGTACAATAAAAAAGAAAGAAGTTTTATATTATTTTATTTTTCAAATTAACAGATACACATTGTAGAAATTTGTTTTATTAAAAGGTAAGATTCTGAGTCATGCTAAAGTTTAATGAGGATAATTTTGTAAAACCAGAACTTTAGGTATGTATAGAAAAACTAAAATCATAAAATAGATCTAACCCTTATCTCTTCATTATTTCTTTAATGTTCCATGGAGGGTTGCCTATATTATGTGTATGTACATAATTGCTCAAAGGAGATGCAATCCAAGCAGGGGATTCTGTAGTATGAGGAAATCCATTCTCTACCAAAAGAATAAATAGTTCATCAATAATGGAATTAATACTGTTTTTCTTATCCTGAAGTATCTTCAACACTTGTCTAGAATGGTTTAAGCAGTTACCAGTAGGGAGGCAAGCAGATTATACATTTCTATAAGTAAATCATGAAAGAAAATTTAAATATTGTAAACACAATCACAGCTATATAGAGTCTGAGTTGGTTTGGCTTCTTTCTTAGGATGCTAAGTTATAGTTAAAAAGGAAACCTAAAGTCTTCAGTTTGGAGATGATTAGAATAGCAAAATGTTTAATGACCTAGAGAAATTCCTGGGTAGCCTGTATTAGCTGTAATACACAATAATACTCTTCATCTGTTACTCTGTCCCCCCCACACACCCCACCAGCCCCTCCTCTTCTAGTAATCCCAGTTCCCTCATGACACCACCATCTACCAGTTTCTCCAGCCAAAAATCTAGGAGTCATCATTTATTTCTCTCTGTACTTCATCTCTTACATCCATGCCATCAATAAATTCTGCTGCTTCTACTTCAAAATATATCACAAGTGGGTTATTTCTTTCCACTGCCACCACCCTTAGCCTATGTACAAATCCCTCTCAACTTCTGTCAGTGTCTCCATGCTTTCACTATGAATCATTCTCCATAGAAGAGCCAAGATAATTCATTTTAAAGGCTGGATCTTTATTTCCCCTTATAAAAAGTGAATATACAGTACTTAATATATAAAAAATGCACAAAGAAAAATAGGACAGACATCAACATAGCTATTGAATGCATTAGGAAATAAAATTTTACCAACACATTTAAATCTCCTTATTGATCTTTATTCAGTCAACTTACCAACTCACTAACTTCCAACACTCCTGCCTTTGATGGTTGTTTTACCAACACACCACTCTAGGGTCTAATACAAACATATCTCTAAGCAATATACACTATTTCTGAAATTTTAAAGTTTTATATAAATGGTATTTTATTGTACTTATTATCTTTGGCAAATTTTTAAAAAATCATTGCAATGTGTGCAGCATTTATGAATATTAATTTTCACTTCTTAGGGTATTCTACAATCTAAATAAATAATATTTCATTTATCCATTCTCCAGTTGATATATATTTAAGTGATTTTAAGGTTTGTTGTTGTTATTATAAACAAAGCTGCCACAGAAATTTTTATACCTTACTATTTATACCACAGATATTTTTGAGAACTTACTTTTAGGTGTATTGCTAGGACTAAATTGCTAAGCAATAGGGAATCTCATCTTCTACTTTATATTGTAGAACTGACCCAGTTATACTAATCTATAGTGATTTCAGTTCTTCTGGAAGATAAAAGTAGTTCTAACAGTTCAGGGAAGGTGAAGACTATAACCTTCTTCCCCCACAACTTTGTTATCTGATGATATTAACAATGAATGCAAACCTCATAGATTTTTTTTACTAAGCAGGTCCAGAAACATTCACTTTACCTATACTTTTAGCCCAGTGAGTTCCAGCTTTCTCCTTCTGGCATAAAGCTCACTGCAAAAAAGAGTCACTCAAGGCAGATGTGACAATATTTAAGAGGCAAGATTCAGCTCACCTTCCAAGAATCTAGAGTAACAGAATTCCCTCAGGTGCTTATACACAAGATCAGATGGTGTCTTAGGACCAGGCACTACTAGGAGAACTGCTGAATTCACTAAGCAGATTCTTCTACCCCATTCATGCAAAGTGCTGCCTGTTCAGTTTAGCCAAACCATTTATTACGTGTGAGAGTACTACTGTCACAGGAAAAAAATTCTTTGAATGTGTATTCCTAGTATGTATAAACAGCTATGTTTCACCCCTAAAGCTCTCCACCCACCTAAATCAGTGGCTCTAATTAAGGACTCTCTCCCATTCTCCTTTACTTCCCTTCCTTCCTATCAATGTGTGGCTAAATGTTGAAAAAAAGCTTCAAAGTAGCACTTTAAAAAATCTGAGCAGGATGTAGTTTATGAATCTGTCAAAGCAAATCAAGGAAAGTTTTACTATGGACATAATACAATTTATTATATATTTGAATATAATCTGAAATAAAACACAGTAAGTAATTATAACATACTCTGATTTTAGAAGGGAAAAATTCAATTACTGATAACATCTATAAATCTTACTTGAATTTCAAGATCCTTTATTTATATTTTAAGGTAAAAGGAAGCTAAATTCAAAAAAAATATTTGAACATATTATGAAATAAAACACAGTGATTATAACATGCTCTCATTTAAGAATGGAAAAATTCATTCAATTACTGATAACATCTGTAAATGTTACTTGAATTTCAAGATCGCTTATTCTTATTTTAAGGTGAAAGTAAACAAAATACAAAAGGTAGTGTTAAAAATTTTAAGCTGTAGAATAATGTGAGAAGGACCCTAAATATTCACTGCCCCAATCCGGAGCAGATGCTAGAATTTGCTCCACAATAATCCTGCAAGCCCAAGACTTCCAGTGCACAGGTTCATTGTGAGTTAGTTCTAACCATCTTTGCTTTCTACCATACGAAAATTTTTCCTTTTATTATGTAAACCTGTTTTCTCAAAACCTCTGTCCATAAATATAAGAATATATAAATACATGATGTAACAATTGACAATACCAACTTTAAATGTAATTACAAGCAGGATGGTTTCTAAATGATGTGATTATGTTATAACAATAAAGTTTTGCTTTGTACCAGCATTCTCATTTCTAAAACTTATTTATTTTTTAAACATAAAAATTAAAAAATATTTACCAAGAATATTGATAGTTTCTTAGATACATTATTTTTATTTTGTAATATTCACATTCTTAGCCCTCTGGAAATCAGGACAATTTGGTTTCACCATGATGAGAGATTATAAATCATTTTTTTACATGAAGTCAAACTCGTCACAAGGAGAATGAGTTCTACTCTCCTCGTTGATTGACCTAAGATTTCTGATTGTATGTCTTCTCCAGCAAGTCAAAGTACGGGGGTGTCAAAACCTCTCTCCTAAATCTCTCCACCTCCTCCTCATCTCTTCTACGTTAATTCTCCCACTTAGCCTGAAAGCAAACAGCAGCTTGAGAGGAAGCCATTGGGAAATAAGCAATCATTGGAGAACCCTAAAAAAAATCTTATGAAATTAAAGCCCTTTTTATCCTCTTGGAATACTGTGACAAAGAAAATACCACAGGTTCACCCTAACATATTTGAGAAATAGTCATACCTTTCAATTCATTTCAACAATGATTTACTAAGTGTCAGGCACTGAACTAGACCTAGGCCTTGTGCTAGTACTGCAGTTACACGAAGTACAACTTGTGACATCCTCTTTCTTAAAAATGAGCAGTATTAAAGAGGACTGATTCTCCTTCACTCACAGTGAAGGTAAGTAGGCAACACACATCTTGTGGGGGTTCATAGGATCAGAGATGACCCTAATAAAAACTCATTGTTTTCCCAAGTAGATAGTACATGTAAACAGTGTTAACCTCAGTTTAGACATGAGACTTAAACAATTTGAACTTCAGTTTACAAGTGAGGTTTTGACAAGAATGAATATTAAAACTGAATATTAAGATCAATTCATCACACTTAGGGAGAAGTCATTTGCTTTAATGCATAAATGACAATTTCAACAAGTGTTTAAAATTAGATATAATTATGTACATTGGAAGAGAAGACATTTACATCCCAACAGGATTCTAGTAATGGGCAGTTTAAATATATTCAATATAATAAAAATCTAGACAATTAAAAATACCTACATATGGGCCCTATACAAAAGAAAGCAAAGACAAAATTCTGCTTGCCTCCTCAGTAACTCACAAAACAATACCCACAAACTGATCTCAGAAGCAGAGCAATGTTATTTTTTTCTATGAATGTAACCTGTGAAACACTACAGATTGTGCTCTATATAATATTGTTTGAGGCAATCTACATATGACATATGATCAAGACTCATAATTGCACAAATTTGGTAGGTCTTACATTTTCCACTACAAATTGCAGTGCTGTCATAACTCACAAAGAAATAATTATAGTATTTTATAAACTGCTTACTGTCCAGCATTGCAAATTGTTTAGCTAATCCATACAAACTTTCTGGGTGCAAATCTTCAATGTCATAGGTCTGGGTCAGGATATACTCCAGCTTCCAGTTGGATTCTCCCTTTAGATTAGCATCTGACAGGTTCAAGTAATACTGCAACATATCCTATATGTTAAAAACAGTGTCAAAGCCTTGTTCATTTTTTTGGCATATGAAGTACTACACAACAAGTGAGTTCTTATGAGGATTTATGTGACATTCTTAATTTCAAATTATAGTCATTTTTTAAAAAGTGAGAATGGGTTTTAAAGAAAAAGAGTCCTGATAGAAAATCTCTATTGCTTTTACCATTTAAAAAATAATGAAGAAACAGAATAGAAAAGAATCTAAAATATATGGAGAGATGCATAAAATAAAAGGCCTTCAATTCATACACCTCAGAAACAGCCACTGCTAATCCTTGTGGATAAATGAGTGGTGTGCTGGAAGCCAGCTCACAAGACCTGACTTCCAAATTTTCAGGACCCTTGAGAGTTAGTTGACATCACTTTGGCAGCTTTAAATTGACCATAATGGGAGTATTTACATCACGGAAGTCAGCAAACACTATTTTTTTCCCAGTGAAACAGTTGCTAAACATTTAAAAGCACTTCAGTGTATGTGTGTTGTTCTAGGCTACATATACAAACTGATGTTTAGAATATACACACCTATTTATTATCTTTTTGCCTTTTTCAAAAAATAAAGTTACACTGTACAAACAGTTTTGCACTTTTAAAAATCGTTTAGTGCTATATCAGAGACATCTTCCCATGTCAGTACATATATACACACACGTGTATGTGTGTATCTGGGATTCAGATCCAAAAATAGACAACTAATAGTTGTAACCAATAGTTGTTTTTATTGCCTCATTTGATCTAATGTTTATGGTTTAAACTATATTTCCCCTGCCCTACCTCCATCATAAAAACATGCTCTAGGGAATAACAAAGCCACTTCCTGTTAAATTTATCTAGGAAAAATAATTAATTACACCAATAGAGACTTTAATTGAGAAATTCTCTTCAAATTATATTTGTTAAAAGAGGCAGTACCCATAAACTAAATGCCCAGACTTTTGATGCTAAATTGATATAAAACAGAATTGTGCACAAGCTCCAGAGAACTTTTCTGTCAAAGGTAAATGTCCAACTCAATTTATTTTCCTTACAAAAAACTATTGCCAACATTTACTGAGCACTTACTATGAGTCAAGCATTTTTCTTAGTGCTTTACATGTAGTTGTTTACATAATCCTCACAGCAACTCAGTGAAGGCAGCAGTATTTTAATCTCCATTTGACAAAGGAATAGACTGAGACAGCTCATGAGAGTATGTCTTCAGAACCTATTCTCCACAATTATATTCTGGAGTAATTAGTACCACATATGGCTTGGTGAAGAGTTTCAATATATACAAGTCCACGAATAAGGCATTATTTCCCAATAAAACCTTCTTCTAAATAAATGTGAAGTGCTTAGAGGGACAGAAACAGCTTCTCAAAGGCTGACTTCATAAGCCCACACTTAGGAAGTGTTGACATTCCAATATAAAAAGAAAGAGATCATAAGATTTCAGCACAAAATACAACGCACATAGCTGCAAAACAAACATTCAACTAAGCTGATGAAAACTACAAAAACATGCATTAATATGAGGTCAATTCTAAAATTGTGCTGACTTACCAATAATTTATAATCACGAGGATCATACTGAAATAGTCTGACACCAGGATTGTTGGTCTGTTTCTCATATGAAGTACTACACAACAAGTGAGTTCTTATGAGGATTTATGTGACATTCTTAATTTCAAATTATAGTCATTTTTTAAAAAGTGAGAATGGGTTTTAAAGAAAAAGAGTCCTGATAGAAAATCTCTATTGCTTTTACCATTTAAAAAATAATGAAGAAACAGAATAGAAAAGAATCTAAAATATATGGAGAGATGCATAAAATAAAAGGCCTTCAATTCATACACCTCAGAAACAGCCACTGCTAATCCTTGTGGATAAATGAGTGGTGTGCTGGAAGCCAGCTCACAAGACCTGACTTCCAAATTTTCAGGACCCTTGAGAGTTAGTTGACATCACTTTGGCAGCTTTAAATTGACCATAATGGGAGTATTTACATCACGGAAGTCAGCAAACACTATTTTTTTCCCAGTGAAACAGTTGCTAAACATTTAAAAGCACTTCAGTGTATGTGTGTTGTTCTAGGCTACATATACAAACTGATGTTTAGAATATACACACCTATTTATTATCTTTTTGCCTTTTTCAAAAAATAAAGTTACACTGTACAAACAGTTTTGCACTTTTAAAAATCGTTTAGTGCTATATCAGAGACATCTTCCCATGTCAGTACATATATACACACACGTGTATGTGTGTATCTGGGATTCAGATCCAAAAATAGACAACTAATAGTTGTAACCAATAGTTGTTTTTATTGCCTCATTTGATCTAATGTTTATGGTTTAAACTATATTTCCCCTGCCCTACCTCCATCATAAAAACATGCTCTAGGGAATAACAAAGCCACTTCCTGTTAAATTTATCTAGGAAAAATAATTAATTACACCAATAGAGACTTTAATTGAGAAATTCTCTTCAAATTATATTTGTTAAAAGAGGCAGTACCCATAAACTAAATGCCCAGACTTTTGATGCTAAATTGATATAAAACAGAATTGTGCACAAGCTCCAGAGAACTTTTCTGTCAAAGGTAAATGTCCAACTCAATTTATTTTCCTTACAAAAAACTATTGCCAACATTTACTGAGCACTTACTATGAGTCAAGCATTTTTCTTAGTGCTTTACATGTAGTTGTTTACATAATCCTCACAGCAACTCAGTGAAGGCAGCAGTATTTTAATCTCCATTTGACAAAGGAATAGACTGAGACAGCTCATGAGAGTATGTCTTCAGAACCTATTCTCCACAATTATATTCTGGAGTAATTAGTACCACATATGGCTTGGTGAAGAGTTTCAATATATACAAGTCCACGAATAAGGCATTATTTCCCAATAAAACCTTCTTCTAAATAAATGTGAAGTGCTTAGAGGGACAGAAACAGCTTCTCAAAGGCTGACTTCATAAGCCCACACTTAGGAAGTGTTGACATTCCAATATAAAAAGAAAGAGATCATAAGATTTCAGCACAAAATACAACGCACATAGCTGCAAAACAAACATTCAACTAAGCTGATGAAAACTACAAAAACATGCATTAATATGAGGTCAATTCTAAAATTGTGCTGACTTACCAATAATTTATAATCACGAGGATCATACTGAAATAGTCTGACACCAGGATTGTTGGTCTGTTTCTCTAAAACACTCTTCACTGGGGTAACAGCAGGAGCCACAAATAAAGAATTTACTGGACTTCCTGAACAAAACAAAGATTAAAAAACAAAGTTCTAAATTAAGAGATTAGCAGACAGAACAGCCAAATAATGTGTGATCCTTGATGGGTCCTGAATGAAGCAACTGTAAAGAGAGACTTTTGAAAAAATAGGGGAATTTTTATTATGGATTGGTATTGGAAGACATCAGGTAATTATTGTTGACTTTGTTAGGAAAGTTAATAGTATTGTGATTATGTAAATTATCCATATTTTAAAAATACCTGCAGAATCACTAGGGTTAAAAAAGAACTGATGCTAGAGATTCACTTTCAAATGCTTTAGGAAAAAAAGAATAAAAAATGGATAGGTAAAGCAAATGTGGCAAAATTTTGATAGATGCTGGATATAAGTGATGACATAATGGGGGGTTGTTTTATCATTCTCTCTTTTTTTATATATATTTGAAATTTTTCATAGTTAAAAACTCCAAGTTACTACAAGTACACACACACAAATACAAAACTAGTTTGTTTTGAATCTCTACCTAAAACAATATTTCAATAATTACATAATAAAAATTTGATTGAAGTGTCACCATGTTTTTTATCTATTAAAGCTAAATTGCTCTCTGAGTTAAAAAGTTATCAAATGCTGAAAAATGGTCATTTTTACCAAGCCTGCTTTTCTAGATGCAGGAGTTAATGCATTTCAGAAATGTTCCAGTTACTGAGAAAAAATATATATTGATTTTACTCTGGCTGATGAATGTAAAATCAGAATTTTTATTTTATTACCTCTCAGTTTTTCTGCCCTCATACAGAGTAATCTTTAAAAATAGTTATCAATATTTTGTTTTATGTAGAGCTATATTTTTTCTTTTAATACTGAGTAGATGACAATGTCGATGCGCACTTAAAAGAGCTTAAGAATCGTAAATTGTGCTTTGCTTTTTAAATTCTGAGAAGTAAAACAGGTTATATAAAGAAAAATGAGTCTGGTAGACAAATAACTAGCAGTAATATTTCTCTAAACTTGAGGATCTCAATGAAATTTTGAGTGGAACCAATAGGAAGAAACCCAATTGCAGGCCTAAACATGATTTGGACACTTGTACAATCATAGAAGATAATTCATAAAAGTTTGGTGCTGGCAGGTGGACTTAGAAAAACTTGTAATTCACTGGATTAGTAAAAATTCCTCGATATTGCTGCTTTGCTCTAGCATCTTGGATTGGGCAGATGTAAACAGGATGTCATTTTACCTTTTTTATCTGAAAGAACCATAATGCTATCTCTGTGAGTGTGTCCATAAAATTGTCCTGCAATGATACTGCTGTATTTTCTAAAAATATCCAACAATTTTTCATTATAGTATTCTCTCATTGCTGGGATACTCTTTGAAGAGGGCAGGTATCCCACTGGAATATGTGCTATGATGTACACCTGGAGAAAGAAACACAGGCAAGACTGATGAGAATCTTTTTGCACATTTATCATACCCAAGTGACACTTAGATAGGCAAGACTGAAAGTATGTTAAGTAAAATTGAACAGCAAATATACCATCTCTATGTAGTACCAAAAACATGAAATTATGAAGCTATTAATGTCACCATATTTACACTTGTCTCATTTAAACCACATTGACAGTATAAAGTAACTGTGACTTTGGTCACAATTTTTTTTATATCGACAGATGTCAATCAATCCTCAAAGCATTAAAAGCAAAACAAAACAACAGAGGCAAATCATGAGGTATTTCTTATGAAAAACCTCTTTAAATTTTAAACTTTTATTAATACCTGGACCCCTCAATTTAATAAATACACAAATTCAGCCCTTTGCTTATCCCCTGATGATTCTGATCTATGAAACTACCTTCTCCTTATTTTGCTGAGAGATGTTCAGTGTATTTTCTAGCCATTCAAACTGATTTGCTGGGTCAGTCTTATTCAGGGTCACAATATTTGGGCCGTAGTACAAATTTGTGTTCAGACTGATGATCCTAAGGTTCAGATTGGTTGAAACTTTCTGTGAATAAAAGCCACCTACAAAAACAAATTTAAATCATATTCCAGAAAACCACAACACAGGTACACACACACTGTGAAAGCAAATTCTCAGTTAAGATTTACAAGCCAGTCAGAAAGGTTATAGTTATTTTTCATTGCTTAGTTTGCACATACACAGGCTGTCATTAGGTAAGACACACTGAATGTTGAAGGCCAATCACGGGCCAGCTCCATGGCTGCCCCTCCACACATTGTGGTAACAAGTTACCTCTAATATTCAGGTGAAAAAAATCATGAAATGTTTGGCACTAAGCAAAGAGGTTCTGAATTTTATAAAAGATTGATACATCAACTCCTACTTTTGCTTTGGAGAGTTCAGTTGAGAGATACTGTGAAATACAAAACCCAAAGAATGGGAAGACACATGGGTCTTGCCAGAGACTACCAGGAAGGAATGGCAGGTAAACCAGAGCTGCCACAGTCTCGGTGGAGACAAGGCTCGCAGCACAACCCCAGGACACGCCTGCGAACCAGAGGTGACAGGACACTCAGCGGCCTGTTGAAGTGGCATGTTCAGAGCTAACCACTGAGATCTCGGCTCTGTTTCCTCTGCCCTGGGCCCATTCACCAGCTTTCAAACATGACCTGTGGCCTCCAGAAAAACTGGATACGGAGGATCTCTGGAATTGGCACACCCACACAAATGTTAGATCTAGTTCTAAACAACATCAATGAAAGTAGAGACAAAGAGGGGTGCGTAAATCTTTCACTTACCTTTCCTTAAAGTATCAATAGCTTCTTCATGTAGCCAGGGTTTCCAGAGGTTTGCTACTGCATTGTACACCTTGCTGGTAACTATAGGCAGTTGATCCTGGCCACAAACAATATAATCCACCATTGAAACTCTGAATCCATATATATATGGATTAATTAATTTAAACATTACTTAGAGTGCTTACTACTATGTCGGGCATCTGGAGGTGAAAGGATGAACACTAGATAGACTTAGTCTTCAAGGAATTTGTAACTTAGCTGGGGAAACAGGATAAAATGTTACCAGTACCTATATGAGAGTATGGTAGGTGCTACTGCACAGTTTCTGGGGGTGTACAAGCAGAAACAATCACGTCTCATTCCGAGGATCCTGGGGGAGGGCTCACAGAGCATTTGAACCAGGCCTTGAATAATGATGTTTCCAGTGGGTGAGGACAATGTAGCAAGACGAGAACAATGGCCCAGACACCAACGCAGGGTGTGTACAAGGAAAAGCTTTGTTTTAGAGTGGCTGGGGTATACAGCAGATGTATTAAAGAGACACATAAGCTAGGTTCAACCTTGAACATGCAAGGCCTAGTGTGGCAGGCCAAGAGAATGGAGAAAATTTCATTATTTTAGAATTAAACAATGTCCTCTGAAATGTCAACACTAGTAAAAAGCTTCTTAACTTCTTGAATAAAGATTTACAACCACATGATTTGAGTCTTTTTATGTCAGCCTTAATTAATTTAACAGGTTTTGATTTTTTAATGATACATTTATATGTATAAAACATTTTTATTATCCTGAAGTATCTTTTCATCATACTATTTTATCATATTATAATTGAGTGTCTTTATGGTGACAAACTCTAGGGAAGAAAAAAAACCAACTTTAAGAGAACAGATACTGAATAAAAAGCCAAAAATCATTTGTGAAACTGGGTAATTATTCTTTTTTTTGTTTTAAAAGGCTATATTAAAAACTAAACCATTTTCTTCACCCTCCTCATTTTCCTCTATTGGTGATAGAGACCTATTTCATAAAGGAGTTTTCCTATCAACATTAATTAAAATGTTTATTTTTCAAGGTGACAGCCAATTCACATTAGTTCCTAATACACATGCCTAACAAATGAAGAAAATATAAACACATTCAGGGCAATTAATATGACTTCTTTTAACTGGCACTAATTACCCAAAGTATATTTTCAATTTGTGTCAGAGATCAGAGTCACGTGTCTGAAAATTACACACTGGCTAAGGCCAATCGAGAGTTTGATTAAAAATCAGTTGTCATCATCATCAAAAACCTAAAGTCTTAGTCATTTGTTTCCTTTGGGATGGATACCAAGATAGTGGTATGGTCATTTAGAATATTAAGATTTTATAAAAATCACTCCAGACTTTTCTATTTTAAGTATGAGAAATATGAATACCAGAGAAGTTAGGTGATTTATCCAGGAACAACTGATCAGTCCCAAAGCCAGGTTGAAATACCAGGTGTTCCACCATGACCCTTACATCCAATTATCTACTGAACCATGCCACTCAATCTTTTTTGGTTGTGACATGACCACTGCTAAGAAATGGAGTATAATGGGAAGTGAGGCACCCATGAGTTTGGTGGCACCAGCCTTGCCAGTGTAGGAGTAAATGGGGGCTCTGGCTCAGACTGTTTGCTTGGGTGTGCAACCTGAAGGAATCCTTGGGCTGCCCACAGTATCTACCTCTGAAGTAATGGGTGGAGAAATGCATCTGTATATATATGTTTATGTAACTATGATTATATACATGTTTATGGGGTTTTAATGGGGAAATAACACTTATCAAATTTATTTGTTACTAATATTCACCAGAAATCAATCTCAGTTATAAGTCTCCAGGAGAATTGGCTATGGGGCTTTCTTGTTACACCTGACATTCTTGAAATGGGTGAAAGCATGGCAGTAGAATCATAGAAAGAAGATTTTCAAATACAAAACTCTAGGCTAGGAAGAGAAAAAATATTAGCTGTTTGAGTATCAGGTTGCCCAATTTACCCTGTACATATAACAGGACATATTTTAGAAGCTGGATAGTAACTATATCTTTGAATTATTGTAAGATTTGACTTCACAAAAAGAAGACAGAGTTAAAAGTCAAATCAAACAAGTCCTCAAAGGAGTTAAGAACAACATATCCCAGGTTATTGCTTAATTCTGTAATAACCATCATTCTACTTACTGAGGGTTTATTACGCGCCAGGTAGGAAGCTGTGCCTTTTCATATAGTATCTTTGCTTCTCACAAAACCTCTGCAAGGTAAGTGTTACTGCTGCTATTTACAAATGAGTGACCTATGACCTATGGACCTGGGACATAAAGTGAATTATCTAAGTTGGTCAAACTATTTGAGGCAGGGAGGGGTTTTAAATCCCAATGACTATGACTCTAAACCCCAACATGTTTTCCACTGTATCAGTCTGCCTGTCACCCAAAACATATAAAACAAGGTGTGTTACCTCTGCTTCCTGGAGCTTGTTCATCCTTGAGCCTCCGCTCAAGCTCTCTGATCTAACATCTCAACAGCAACAAAAGATGACCTCAAGAGGTTGACTCACAAAGACTTATATATTATTTATTTCAAGACTGGAAGCCAGTGACAAGAAATCATTTGTAACTTAAGCTAATCCTAGAAAATAACTTTTCAAAATCACTCTATCAGTTTAGATTAACATAATCAAAACCCTCATCAAGCATCCTTTTGACAGGAAATAGAAAAAGATATCTTAAGTAAAAAGAAAAATGTAGACAAAGACGGGCATGAAAGTAAATATCATGTTCAGTACGTTAGTCTGGCAAGGGCGAGGCATGTGTGAGAGGTGTTGGGCCGACTGAACACAAATGGTCCAGGATGTGGGCTCTGCCACTAGACAATTGTGAGCACTTGAACAGGCAGCTTAACATTTCTGGGCCTTAGTTTTCTCATTTAGAAAATGAAGAGTTGATCTAGACCAGGAGTCAGCAAACTTTTTCTATTAAGGGCTAAGAAATAAACATTTTAGGTTTATGGGCCATAAGGTCTCTGTGCTCTGCCACTATTATGCAAAAGCAGCCACAGGCAATACAGAAAGGAGTAGCCATGGCTGTTCCAATAAAACTTTATAAAAATAAGTGACAGGCCAAATCTGGACCACAGGTCATAGTTTACCAAGCCTGGACTAAACAACAGTATCTGAGATTTCTTGAATATGTAGAAATCTAAGATTCTATACTACTACAACAGGACCCTGTAATCAGGGCTTGTTGCTAGATGCTATGCACAGACTACTTAACAGTTTTTCTGACAGGTTGAAGCCTGGGCTGTATCAAGGATTAAATATTTTAAACATAGTCTCTGCCTTGAATCACATCTTAATTAGATAAACTAGACTTGAACATGGACCTCCCTCTGGTTCTTACAATAGTTTGCTATGTTTCTGTTTTTAATCATAGTCTAGTTTAGATCAGAGTGTGGAGAGCTTTGTATGCTTATAGAAATTCTGAAAAATGTAAACATTTGTCAGTATTAAGCTTCACTACTAACCTTATCATAGAAATACAAATAAACAATAGAATTATCCAAAAGAAAGGAGAAATTGAGGAATATTATGAAGGAAAACAAGAATTAATAACCCACAAACTAGGTAATTTGCTTCCCAAACTCATGATGAACAAAACTGTTTGTACATTATTGAGTCACATTAAAGTCCCCAAAGCACTTGTCTTGCCTTCCTCAAAGCTTAGCATTAAAAACACAACCTGCCTCCATGAGTTCCACTCCCAAGCCCTGCCATCAGCTAGTTACTGTCATAATTTCAACACGACCAATGGTAAAAATCTTTGAAGCACTTCTGGAAATTTACCTGTGGCCAATAGTCATGATTACCTAGGGCAGGGAAAACCTGAAGATTTGGAAAGAGACTCTGGACGGTGGCTGTCATATTAGCAATCACACGTATGACTGTGTCTGTGGAGAGTTCATGCACTGGAACATGAGGTGGGCTATCCCTGAAAAGGAGACAAAATCAGTTTCTATAAAAAGTCACTAGCTTTATGCATGATGCTTTGCTGCAACATCAACACAGACTTCCACTATAAAACAACAGTAAGAGCAAATATACAACCAAGAAATTCACTTCTGAGTATTTACCCAGGGAAAACAAAAAACACTAATTTGAAAAGATATATGCAGCCCTATGTTTATTACAGCATTATTTACAATATACAACATTTGGAAGCAACTTTTGGAAGCTCAGAAGATGTGGAATATATCCACAGTAGAATATTACTCAGCTGTAGAAATGAATGAAATCCTGCCATTTGTGACAACATGGAGGGACTTAGAGGATAGCACACTAAGTGAAATCAGTCAGACAGAGAAAGACAAATACCATGATTTCACTATGTGGAATCTAAAAAACAAAGAAACAGCAAAACAGAAACAGACCCAAAAATACAGAAAACAAACTGGTGGTTACCATAAGGGATTGGACTGGGGATAAGGCAAAATAGGTGATGGGGATAAAGAGGTACAAAGTTCCAATTATGAAATAAACAAGTCATAGGGATGAAAGTACAATATAAAGACTATAGTCAGTAATACTGTAACAACTTTGTATAGTGACAGCTGGTCACTACACTTATCATGGTGAGCATTTTGTTATGTATATAACTGCCAAATCACTATGTCATACACCTGAAACTAATATAACATTGTATGTCAACTATTATTTAGTAGAAAATAAATAAAATTACATGCACTGTAAAATAAAAAGCAAGAAATGATAGGTAAGAGTTGATAAACTACTATTCATTTACTTTTCATTAAGAATTTACTTTACATTAAGAATCTTATAAAAAGAAAATTTGTATAATAAAAAGATAAACTGAAAATCTCCCCCTACTTCACTACCTGATTGGAGATTTATGAGAGGAAAAATTTTAGTGATTAAGAACACAGATTCCAGAGCCAAAACGCCTAGATTCAAATTCCCAGCTTTACCACTTAATAGCTATATGTACTTAGACAAGTTTCTTAGATGCTCAATGTTTTCACTTCCCAGCTGTAAAATAGAAATAAAAAAATTAATAATAATATCTATTGTAAAGATTAAATGAGTTACAATGTAGAAATTAATTAAAATAGTGTCATGGTCATTATTGGAAGTAGAGGAAAAACAGGTCTTTTCACTCTGCCATGATGGATGGAATTAACTAGTTATACCACCAGATCATGTTTACAAGTTTCTATCAAAGGTTTAACTCACACTGTTACCTTTCAGTTTTGAATATTTAGTAAGGATCTATTATCACATTAATAAACACCTCCAGACACTGATCATGAGTATCTGCTGCTTATGGATTTATCTCTTAGTTAATGTATTTCTAGAACCTGTATTCTGGGAAAAAAGAAAAACAAAACTTCTACAGTTTTTCTTATCTCTAACAATGTTGGTTAATTTGACCTAGTGCTTTTTAATGTTAATTTTCTTACGGAATTCAGAATCCTAAGGAAGCTTAAGACACTGTAGATAAATACTGAGTAATTAATGGTATTTATATAATCACTTACCCTGTCCATATCATGAAAGATGCTTCTTGTCCTGAGTTTTTAATGAAATCAAATGCTGACAAAATAAGGTGATACGGAGAATCACACAGAACATCTCCAAAAGGGCCAGGATTGGAGGCATTTGCACCTTTGGATGAAGCGCACACTTTCGTGTGGTCATCTGTGATGTGGTAAGTAGGGTCTAAGTGTAAGTCAGTCACATGCCAAAACTGTCCTGTTGGTTAGAAGTGACATGGTGTTAAATCTATGCTTCTTTTGGAATTCTCCTACAAATATTTATAGTCAGACTAGAGCCAGTTGCTCCTCCCTGTGATGGAGGGAAGCTGTACTAATATAAAAGTTCATACGCCCTCAAGTTAAATACAACCCTTCCCTGTAAGAAGATGAGGACTCCAAGGACAGCAGGAAGAATTTACTGGAATTTACTATTTAAACTTGCCAGAACCGATGAGTTCAGTGATAGCATGACTACCTAATAAAGACTAGATAACAAACATAAATTGTATAATGAAATGTACAGAGATGACCTTCTGGGAGGTCAGTATTATATCACATCTTATTAGCATGTCTCCTTCCTTGAAGAAATTAAGGTTTTAGTATTTTATTTACATTTTCATATAGAAAAATTGACATAGAAATATGATGTGGTTTGTTAGGGTTACACAGTGAATAGATTGCAGAACCAGGAACTGGATCTTACTCCTAATTTGTTGTAGAAACTTGCCCCTCAACACTAATGGGAAAAGAATATAAATCTTTAATACTAGCTTTAAGCCAAAAAATAGAAATTGCCAGAGGTTCTTAAAAACTACTTAATAAGGAGAACTTTCCATCAACACATTTGTATAAAATGTTAGCAATTTTAAGGGAAGCATTTGGTAAGGAGGCTGCTTCCACTGGGTTTTCAGGGAGGACCCTAGAACCCATCTGAGAGCATCCCTGCTTGTCAATCATTTTGAGAATGACTCCTTCACTGAAGATAATACCAGTACTAAGAATCATAGTAGTATCTCTCTTCGTTAAGTATTTACTATGTGCCAGGCATTGTGATAAGCAATTTAAATATTCTGTGCCATTTCATTCTCAGAACTACTCTCTTGAAATAGGAATCATTGTTCTTATTTTGGAGTTGGGAAACTAATGCAGAATCAATTAGGAAATCTGTGATAGTTACACAGCTAATAAATGGCAGAGTCAAAATCTGAACTCCACTTGGAAAGGCCCTCAAGTTTGCTTGTTCACAATTTACATATATCTTCAATGATTTTGCTGCCTCCTCACTTGAAACTAATAAATCACTTTAATAGGCGGCTTCTTCACACTCTGAATTTTGAGTTCACTTTATGACTAATTTACATCAGAAACACATTAGAAGTGATACAGCAGCATGTACTACACCAGAAGCATGGCACTAATGAATACAAACTTTTATCCAAACAAAGATGATAAAAGCTAAGCATGTATGTGAGGAAACACTTGCATAAAACCCAAAGCTGGATAATAAAATAAAAAATGGAAAAGAGTTACTTTGTTAAGGTGGAAAAAGTTGAGTTATACTCAGCTGTTGTTTGTTCACAATGTGGTTATAATTTTATAACGTGTTTAAGTTCACAGCTAAGAAGTGGTGTACAAAAAATCCAGAAGACAGTAGGCATTAAATCGTCTTTATGGTCAATACCTGGTATTCAGTCCCCATTTGCAGACATTTGCCAAGAGTAATTTATGGTATTCCATAATGCAGAAAATACTCCAATTTTCACTTCCAGCTTAGACATACTTTACCTAGCACACAAAGCCAAATTGGCCAATAGTCAGAATCATTCTGGAACCTGCCCTTCCTTGAGGTTTAAGTACATAATGCATCTCATTTTTATGTGAATGTGTATTTTATTATTTACAGAATGTTAAGGTACAGTAAAGTGCACATAGAGCAATACAGTGGTACAGTTCAGAGTGGAGACTCCAGAAGCAGACTGCCTGACTTCACATCTAAGCTCCACTTACTAATCCAGCTGTGTGATCTTGGCTTGTTTTATTTGTGAAGTGGGAATAATATTACCACCTACTGTATGAGGATTAAGTAATTTAGTAGAAGAAAAGCTCTTAGATGTTGGCTGGCATACAGTAAATTCAGTAGTTCGTTACACTGTTACTATTTCATACCCCCAACCTTGAATCTGAGATTGAACTTCATTTCCAAGTAATAGTTAAAATTTACTGAGTATTACTATAAGCTTATTACTTATTAATTTTTTAAGCTTATTACAAGATAGGGATTCAGGAAATCTGACTCCAGATTCAATGTTTTTCATAACCACTGCACACTCTGCTTCTCTTTGGGTGTGCTCACATTTGAATGTCCTTCCGTTGCATTTACCTCATGTAAAAAAGGTGACAATGCCTACATGTAATATGGCAATAAGTAAGGGCCATGAGATAATAAATATATTAAATTTTTGTAAAGCAAAACTGGAAAACATTAAGGATACATCCCTCAAATGTAGTCTAACATCTAGATTTATGTGTCCCTAGCATCTAGAGTATGTCTGACCTATCCTAGGGCCTCAACAGTCTTTAATTAGACACAGGCTGGTTTCAGGATTTCCTCAGGTCACATGGTGATTCAGTGAAGAAGCCTGAACTGGAACCAGTCTCTCCAGACTTCAAGTTTAGTGCGCTATCCACTACATTGAACAGCCAGACAAATAGGTGAGAAGGTAATGATTTAGATGCAGTAGGGGGTGTCTTTAAATAGAAGCCAAGGACAGAGCTCTTACAGGTTCTTAACCTGGGATTTATGAATAATGTATGTCAGGAGGCCTCACCTCCCACATGTCCACATGTAATGAAACTGTATACAAAATACTGTGTGTGTGTGTGTTTCCAAGGCCACAGGCCTGCCCGTGGAGAGCCCATGCTCCAATCCAGATTCTCTGATTTCCAGTCCAAAGTTCTCACAGTACAATTATTTCCTTGTTCTCAAGATGACTTTTAAAAGATTTGCACAAATATATGTGTGTAAGCATGTGTGTGTCTTATTGACACATCTAGATAAATGCTCAAAATGATACCAAAAATATCTTAAAATTTATCTTGAAAAGTTATAATTTATCCTAAAGAACCTAGCAAACCATAATTCAGTTGTTTGGATAAATGGTTGCTGTGTAAGGAGGCGTCTCTGTTTACTTACTTACAATGTCAGTTCCTACCAAATACTACAGCATGTCCTGACTTCCTAAATCTAAAGAGCTGTGGCCAAACAAACCCAGGACAACTCCCTGGGTTGTTGTGTCCACCACTGGTGTTTGACAGAACAGAAACTGAAACGGGGAATTTGCACACACACGTACACTCCCCCCAAGTGAAGAGAGTCAGGGTGGGTGTTTGAAACTAAGTCCGTGCATTGTGACATGGGGTCAGGGGGAGAGGGAAGGTCACATCAAGCAGAGAACGTGTAAAATCATACATCCAATGTGAAAGTGCTGAGTCGACACTTGAGCAAGTCTTTGAACCCCAGTTTCCCAACTCCCTTCCACCTCCCTAGCTGACTCAACCTTATAGCTTCCCTAGCAAAACAGCAAGGTGGGCAGTACAGATTCACTAGGCACCAAAAGTTGTCAGTGAGGCCTTCAGCAATCAAATCCTTAAAACCAAAAGGTGAATGTACTATTCGTTGGTCTTACACAGCCCGGGGCATTTTATCTCAAAATCCTAAACAGCCACATAATAAAAGAAACACAGTTCCAGTTTTTAAAAAGGCAGAAACCAGCATGCATACGTTATTTTAGGACAACTTCTTGTTATGACTGACAGTTGGGAAACCAGATTTACAGTTCTTGCTGTCAACTGCCTGACAGCTGAGTCACGAGGACTTGGCTCGCAGACAAAGAGGCATTTCCCCCGAAGCATTTTAAAAGTCTTGTGAGAGAAGAGTAAGAGCAACAAGAAGAGTCTTCAGCATTGAGCACGGCACTGAGTTTTGGGGATAGCTATGCCCAAAACACAAAACAGAACTCCACCTGATTTTTCCCGTCTAAATAACAAAGCAGTTATTTTTAAAGGGAGTCAGGTTATGAGAATACCTTGATCTTTGAAACTGAAGGCTCAGATGGCTTCATAAAATCTCCCATCCTACATCATATTCTGTACGGGGGTTCTCAAACTGTCAGAATCACCTGGAGGGTTTGTTGAAGATTGTTGGGCCCCAATTCTGAGTTTCTGGGTCAGATTCGTTGGGTCTGGGATGGGGCTGAAAACTTGCATTTGTAACAAAATCAGGTAATTCTGAAGCTGCTGGCCCCTGACCACACTTTGAGAACAACTACAGTAACCGGCATTTGTTAGGGATTGGAATGAATAAAAGTGGTGCCGCCTGCCGGGAGCCTAGTGGCATTCAGATAAAGCGAAATGAAGGCCGCATGAGTTTTAACTTAGCCTTTGGGGTGAATAGCACCGAGATTGTGATCGTACTCTGGCTGAAGGCACAGGGAGAAAAGGCCACCAAATGCGGTGAGCGGGCAGGAGTTACTCTGAGACCCACTGAAATTTACACCCCTGAAGTAAAGCGAAACTCTGAGGCTCCCCCTCCACTCTGGGCACATTCGGAGCCTCTAGGAATACGGGGCATCCAACTCCCAGCGTTTTCCCTTGAGACACGCAGCTCCCTTACTTCCCTTGGAGCAAACAGCCGGAGACACAAAGTGTACACAACTGCTGGGGGAGGGGAATATCTGGCCGCCGCGTTCCCTGCAGCGTCCCCACTGGCGCGGGCACGGCCCCCAGCCGAGCCCTGACCTCCCGGCCGGAGCACTTGCTCGTGTCCCCCGTGGCCCTCGCCCCCCGCGTCTGGGACCCCGCGCTGCCTCCTCCCCGCTCGCGCACTTCTGCCTGCGCGCTGTCCGCTGCTGCCGGGCAGCTCCCGCCAGGGAAAGGGTCGCGGACAACTCACCCACCGCCGGAGCGGGACTGCGGCCGCCCCCGGGCGCCAAAGGCAGCCCTAGGCAGGGGCCGCAGTGCAAGGCGGCCAGCAGGCAGCAGAAGAGCGCGCACAGCAGCGCCATCGCGGGCCGTGGCCACGAGCCTGGGCGACTCGGCCTGTCCCGGGGCTCCACTCGGACCGTCAGGCCCGGGTGGGGAGGAGGCTAAGGAAGGATGCGGGTGTAGACGCCCAGCAGTCACGTGCAGGGACAGACTCCGCAGCTAGTCGGTAATTTTCACCTTCAGCTGCCCTCTGTCCTTTTGTTTTTTAGAGTCAGTGACTGGCCTGCGAAGGAATGTGCTTAGACAAACCCCAAGCAGATCATCTTCCCCAAAGCCACCTGGCCCTAAACGATGAGGATCCTCCACAGAAATGATGCAGAGAACCTTGAAGTATGGTGATTTGGAGGAGGTCAGCAGAAGTTTTGAATAGCACAGTGGATCTCAAGGTGTGGTCCCTGGACTAGCAGCGTCAGCCCTACCTGGGAATTCTAGTTAGAAATTAAGATTCCCTGGCCCCACCCCAGACCAACTGATTCAGAAACTGGGGAGTGGAGCCCAGCAGTCTGCTTTACTAGCCCTACAGGTGATGCTGAAGTGATGGTAAAGTTTGAGATCCACTGCTCAGACATTAAGGTTTTGTTTTTTGTTTGTTTTGTTGCTGTATTTAAAAAAACGAGTTAAAACAATGTCTCAGAACCCTGCTCTGTGCATTCCAGAGATGCATAAAAATCATAAAGAAAGCCTGTTTATTTTACATTTCCAAGGACTTTTTGAAGCTGGCCAGTCTGACAAAGGAGCGGACACCCCCAAACTGCCCTGGCTTCTGTGTGCCTTCTATTACCATTCACTAGGCTGCTGACCGCTTTGGATGCATGTAGTTGAAATTTGTGGGGCATAGAATTCCTTTGGAGAAGAAAATATCCTCTAGAATGACTAACGTCACCAAAGACGATGGAAAGTATATTTGTTTCCAATCAGAGAAAACCCTACTTTCTATCCTGTCTCATTTAATGGGAAAGCATTTCATATAAAGGGCTTTGAAATGGGCATCAAGGCACCTCCATTTTGTTTCATGTCCTGCCAGCAACCGCAAGTCCTGCCACAGCTTTAGCATGATTCAAAAGCCTTTTGAGAACCAAAGTACTTCCCAATCATGGACAAAATGGTCGTTGGAGTTTCTAGTCCATGACCTCAAGAGTATGGAGGTAAACAAAGTAGGGGGGGGGGGGATGGTAAATGGGTGAGACAGAACAACTTTACAGACGGCAAAGTAACTTGTGTGTTTTTAGTCCAGGCATTCTGAAAGGTAAGAAAAGGATGAAACTGGAAAAACAGCAATTTTTAATCTTTTTTTTCAATTTCCAATAAGTAAATTACTGGCAGTAAATCACTTGTGAAATAATTCTTCAGTAAGTAAACATAAAATATAGCATCTACATTTTGAAACCTAAGGAATGCTTGCAATTCTAACAAGACAATACACTGAAATAAGTGGGTAGATATGCCATTCTCCCTCCTACTTTCTCATCTTTCTTTTGTGTTCCTTTATACCCCCTAAGAAGAATAAAATTACATGACTCAATATCTCTGGGTGTACACCTCAACTCTGGGCATATATTTGGAGGTGCCCTGGTTTGGGATGTAGGTGTAATTTGTTGTGTGGGTGTATATCTGACTGAGGTAGAACACATAGGATGGGGGAAGTTGCTGCTTACTCATTATCACAGTTCAAGATTGGATTTCACAAGATAGCATTTACCCAAGTTTGTATCTTTTAAGACCTTGGATTTTGGAAATATTCTTCCAGGGCCTGTTAGTCAAATTGCCTTTGGGCTTGCTTAATTTTCCTTTCCTGTTAACTATGTTAAGAAAAAAAAAAAAAAGAGGGGTTGGGGGCAAACCAGAAAAATTAGTACATTGGCCGATTGCTATATGAGATAGAATATAGCTTGAAGAAAAATGATTTGCAACTACCCTGTAAATATTTAAGAAGTAAAAATATCTGTTAATTATATTCCCAGAAAAATACATTTGTTGCGCTACTGAAACCTTTGATCTTTTAGCCCACTGGAACTTTCACATTTAGGCCACCCAAAAACCTTTCCATTCTTCACTCTGTGAGGCAGCTGTTATGGTAATAAATGCCAGCAGGATGTTATTTGGCCTAATTCTAATGAATAGTGAGCTGAAACTGAATCCCCATCCTTGGCTTTGTATCTTTAACAGAGAGGCCAGCATCCCTGCTTCTACTAAAGCATAGGGCTAAAACCACCAAGAGAAAGCTGTCTTCCACAAAAAGTAGAGATAAAGGGTGTCAGAATAATGGCAACAAACACTTTCTCAGTGTAGTTTCTGGCTTTTAAACACAAAGGTGGATGCTGTCGTTCAAGGAATGGCAATCTTTACCAAACAATCTTAACTTGAGGTTCAGTGATTTTACATTCAAATGTTAACTCCTGTAACTGCACTATAGTTTCTTCTCCTCTTCATTTTAGATATTAAAGTGATAACAGTAGTCAAATTATAGTATTGGGGGGAATTGTTCGAGTTAAAGGAAGTTTCTTCATGCTTGTACCTATAAGTTAATTGGACCTTGAATTAACTTACAGAAATTTACTGACATCATTGGGATTGTTAAAAATGAATATTACATATTAGTCTTGAAAAATATTTACCGTTTTATTCCTCCCCAGAGGCTAACAGAGGAAGGACTTCCTAAGGAGTGATCAGGGAAAATAAAAATCTTGCATTTTTGTTTCAGAGAAAAGTTAAGTGGAAATGTTCATTTATGAGAGGATATAAAGGGTAAAATTGCAAAGTTTGCAGTTCTCAGGGTTATTTACGAGTCATGAGAACTTGAACATGTAGCTCTAATCTTAAATTTCTTCATCAGTAAAGGAAAACTAATAAATACCTGCCTTACCTGCTTCACACTGTGGTTTGAGAAAATGTATAAAACACACTTTGTAAATGATAAAATATAAAATAACATTTGTTTGTTTGTACTTTACAAATGTAAACCCTAGCTAGTTACAAACAGGTATTTATTTTCACTTGGTCAACTCAGTTCCAACAACTCCCACATACACACCCCCAAAAAGGGAATGCAAATGCCTTTGTGCACACACTATGCACACCCTATTTAAGCACTCCTACTGACTTAGTTCAGCTCAGTGCACTTGTCTGGACCTCAGCTTTGTAATCCAGGATTAAATACATTCCCCTTTCCTATTTACCTTTCAGATAGAAACAAGTTATATAACATTTTGATTATATGCTATTTTGATTATATTTACCTTTTAGTAAGACATTTTCATGTATAACATTTTGTTTCTGCAGACCATGTGTTTCTAATAGCAAGATGTCATTTGTGCCACCCAACCTACCATAACAAGGCTTCTTTGAATCTTGGCCAAATGAATTTAATCATCACAGATTCTCTATGGAAGTCTCAACCTAAACAGTGGCATTTTCCCATTTCCCTAGGATTCTGCTTATTTTTTTAAATTAGTATTTGAAACAGAAGAAGCTGTCAGACTTAATTTTTGCCACTAGAAAGGCTATCTTATTTCATACTCTCTAATATATAATTCCCAGATTATTGATATTAAAAACAGCAACAGCATTTCTCCTGGGTATAAGAGTTTTATTTTGATTTGATTTCATTCCAATATAAATTATGAAATATACTCATTTCTTTATTTTAAAAATATGGCTTAAAATTTTAATGCGAATTATAAAACATGATGAATTTGCAGATCAAAATTGGGCTAGCTGCTTGAAATAACAAATTGCCAAACAAATTTTTAAATCGCTATTTAAAATCACCACCTCCACACCAAGGATAACCTTCTCTTTAGTGATCAGCTTTGCTATCATAGCAGGATAACACTGAGACTTCAGTAAACAGAACAAGTGGAGAGCTTCTCTGGCTCCAGATCAGGAACATTTCTATGCCTTCTCATAGTGGCGAACAGCAACCACGCCACCAAAAGTCAGAGTCTGAAAGATTCAAAAGAGAATCAAATAATTTTACACAGGAATATCAGCTGAAATTTCTGAAGATAATCATATATGCGTCTCAAGTATTATGCAAGAGAATAATGGCATTTACAAACATTAAATGCTGCATACACTCTTCATTTCTTCAAACATGAAGAAACATTTTTATTTATTGAGTGAATAATATGTATAACTAGTTCATGCCTCTAAACAGAGAGTGAAGCCAAAAACTGACATTAGATATGTAGATTCAGATTGAAAGAATTCCTTTAGCCTTAAATTATCAAATGGAAGCAAATCAGCTTTCTGCTTTGAAAACGAATGAAATTTATAGTAGGTTTTCATAACAGTTTTCAGTTCATGATCTATATAAATTTTGAAGAATTTTTTCAAAACAAAATTCAAATCATTTAGGCAGATGGTATTTGGAATGACTTGTTCTAAAAATTAGCAGGAAATGGTAAATATACAAATGTTCTCTTTGCTTAACTGTCATGTGTTAGCCTATGTGCACTTTTGTGATTAGGTGGGTAAAAACTTGTGTGCAATTTGGGCTCTTAATATCAAATCCAACTTGAAGAATTGCTATACAACCACTTTACAAAATTGGGTTTTTTTTTTAGTGTTCATTGTTTTCATGTATTGACGTGAGTTTCAAGATTATAAAATGCCCTTGTTATTCATTGTTTTAATCTCCCGTTTTGAACTCAGTCTTGCCTGATGACAGCCATACATGCCAAAGCTGAGCCATCCACTTTTTTGTATTCAGGGGGGAAAATGGAATAAAAGCATAATGAAGAACTTCAGATTGAATCTTTTAGAAATAAATCATTTCTTTTGATGATCATAGCAGGAAAATGTGGGCAAATATTCATTAACATGAAAGGAAAACTATCCCTATCCTCCCCCCCTTTCCACCCATGAAAAGAAGTATGAATATGTAAGCCCTAAATCTCAAACTAGAACAGCTCTGATTGCAGTAGTTGAGAAGGAAGCAACAATTCTCTTTCATTAAAAATAAAACAAAAACAAAACACCCTTGCTTCTATTATCTTAGAAGAAATATGTAAAGCAATCTTCCCAAAAAAAGCCCAAAATGATACATTGACTATTTCAATGTCACCAAATTACCATTACTCAGTTCACAAAAAGTGTCTGGGATACTAGATTAAGACAGAATATTTTTTTCTAGTTTATGATACTCTATCGTTAGAAAAATTATTTTTAA